CCCGGCCCCCCCCCCCCCGGATTGCAAATTTCTTATTTTATCATGAATAAAAAATGTAGCCGCGTTGGTCTTCTATAGAACAACGTAAGAAATGACAACAGTACTTTTAACACTAATTTGTATAGAATCTATTATCCTTCACACATTAATCTGTGGACTTAATCAGGACACATCCAATTTGCACAATCTCCTGATGAAGTCCACTTGTGGACAAAAGCTGGAGAATACATTTTAAAATCAAGTAAATAGTAGAAGTGCTGTAGTCATTTCAATATAATTCTGTTCCTCTTGTCTGTCATTTTTCGGAGTCACCATACTCATATATTATTTACATTATGTTTTGCTGTTACATTTCCGAAAATTTTATTATGCAATATTTAGTAATAATAATGAATAGTGTACAATAATCCATGGGTTTTTTTTATAGTGTTTCGTAGTTTCACTAAGATAAGAGAGCAAACAGTGTTTTTCCATTTCTTTTTTAACGCATTTCTATTGTTAATATAGATTATTATTTCTGTTTTAATGCAATATGCTACACAGTAGTCACAACATAGCCTGGCCACTAGACCACAATGATGCACATGTCGAATGTTTATATGGTATAGGCCTATTACTGTATTAATTAGGCCATTGGATTGGTTATAAGCGTAAATTTATATGATCGTTCAAATTTGTTTGAAACAATGAAATCTTATTTCTTTAATATGTTAGCATACTTCTCAGTTATATTCGGCAAATTATTTCCCGAAATATTACATATTCGTATCAGTGAATAATTGCTTACGTTACTAGCTATTTTGTGGCAAACAAATAAACTAATTATTTAGTAAATTTGTCTAGATTTGTGATTATGTCGCCACCATTCGCTATATACCTTCTTTTAAATTAAAGCAGTATTTTACTGAATTAATATTACGCGACACTAAAAATGGGTGAGGAATATAGTCTTCATCTGTTGTATAATATGTTAATTCAATCGAAAACAAAACAATCCCAGCAGTGACCCCATGAATGGAATGTAATTTTAAATTCGTGTACACATTTGTTTGTATTTGATATTTGGTTTTAATGGCTGGAGAATCTCTCGATATTTGGCTCACTTCTTGATCCCGTACTTCTAAAATAATTGTTGCTTACAATAATTGTTTTCTGTTTTGTGATTGAAAGATGATGTAAATGAAATGAATTAATCAAGCGCCCTGAGCATC